GGGGAAGGGTTAAAAAAAAAAAAAAAAAAGCGTCCAAGGAAATGAAGGCCTGGATCCTTCCCTCGCTTAACTTCACTCAAGGGAAACGCTCGAGTGCTTCATAGGGCAGATACGGAAGTTGCTGTTGCTCCGTTGGGCAATTGACGCCGGCTGCGGTGCTGCCTTGCCCTGAAAAACAGGAATGTGCAACGTGTCTGATCAGGGGAAGGTGGAGCTCAAACGGTGATTGTTGTAGCAGGTTTAGCGATTTAACATTGCTTCGTTCTGCTCTCTTATCATGCGTGTGAATGTCACACTCCAGCTGCCTGTGTTAAAAAAGTAAGCAACTTGACTTCACTACCTTCACTGAATGAAATTCAGGCCATATACAGCCACCACAAATTAATTTTGTTGAATTTACACCAATCTCTAGCGTGCGAATGAATAATTTCATAATTGTAAATGTTTTCTGTAGGCAGTATCCCTAAATATACGAAGACTGCGATTTAAGATCTTACTTTACAAAACTAAAGGTAAATCCTGTACATGGTTATAACCAACATGAGTATTCCCATTGCCTTCAAGCCTAAATGAAAGCAGTCACTTAGGGTTGCCTCTAGCTAGCCAGCGCCTTATAATTTTGTCTAAATGATCAGAACAAAACTAACTGGGCTTTTGAAATTAAACATCCGTATACTTGTAGGTATGCTTTATGGGATAGGTATTTTGATCAGGACATGATCCAAACTGCATACTTCTGGATGTTAAAACTGAAAAGACCATTTAGTTTTCTTATATCTGGAAATATTATGCTGTAGACACATTCATTTTTAATTGTTTGAAAACTTGTCCAAGGGTTTCCAAAGAACAATGGAAAGAAGCTAATCTAAATATGAAAATAAAAATATATACAACTGAAATGACAGCACAATTTATTGTTATTACCAGAGCATAGAGGATACAAGAATGTATATTCCGTTCTTCAAGCTTAACAAACAAATGACACTTCTGTCTTATAAGTATTGAGGTTTAGGGTGATAAAGTTCTAGTGATTAATGCTGATAGATACAGGAAATGGTCCTTTGTCTGTCTTCTGTAGTCAATATAGAATGTCAAGTTTAAAATGTTTTTAATATGCTGCTGTTTGCTTTGGCCAAAATTCAACAAAGCACTTCAGTTAATGTTGAAATGGAACTTAAATACCTGGTGACATGCTTTGCTGGATCAGGATGAATTTAAGTACTTTGTTCTGATTTTTTTAGCTTGCTACTCTTATAGTAGCTACCTCCCTAAAAGATGAGAAAATGCCTGTTTAACACTACAACTAACAATTCAGTAGAAATCCTCCTGTTTCTTGGACAAACCCTTCAAAAGGTTTCATTTTAAGTTAATCTGTTTGTTTTTTTCCTCATGTAGTAAAATACCTGAAATATTCAGTGGCATAGTTTGCAAGTATTAAGTCATGCTTGGGACTGTCCCCTGGACATGGTAACATTTTAACTTTAAAACAATTGATATGCTTTAGTCTCTTTCTTAACAAGAGTAGTTTGGCTTGTATTGGCATTTACTGGAGAAGTGACAGATGCACTAACGTAATGTCTGAATATCTGAACCTTGAAAATTTGGAATTGACTTCATTGTTCTGAAATTTTGCTCTAGGTGAATTTTAAAAGTTACAGCCTCGTTGCTCTGTTCATCCAGGACAAATTGCATCCACTCACAGTATTTCTTTTACTAACTATAAACTTGTTTAAGTACTGTCATCACATTTCTTATGTAGACTTGGAAAAGCTAGAATCCAGGATATGGAAATGGGTCTTCAGCTGGTGTAGATCTTTGTGGCTTTGTTCACATAGTACATCTTTGGTGATTTACACCAGCTGAGGAAAAATGGGTGTCACATTTGTCTATCTTTCCTCTAAGCTTAGCAGTTTTTGTTAAAACAATATATCTTTAGAATTTCTGCTGTGCAGTAGAAATAAGTTCAGGGCTGGAGCACAGCTTTAAGTGCAACTGTTATTTTTTATAGAGAGTGAAAAGTCTTCAGACTAGATTCATACATGAAATCCTGAAACATGAGCATCTTGGGGATACCTGGTGGGGACCAGCTCTTTTTGTCTGATAATGCTGATATGTTGTTCCTTAGGTTCTGCAGACCGAAAGCACTGTAAATTCAAACCGGATCCTAATATCCCTCTAATGTTTAGTGCTGTCAATGAAGACTACTTTGGGAGCGGATGGTCACGAGGGCACATGGCACCAGCAGGAGATAACAAGTTTTCAACAGTAGGAATTTTTCTTAATTTGTGTCTGTCAATAAAAGGGGGGAAGAAGGTGGTCTTCAGATTCATGACAATGTTTTCTTCTTTAAGAAGAGGGAGTTATGGTCTCCCTGCTTTAGCTTGGGACTTGAATTAGAGAGTTAGAGTTCTAAGGCCCTGGGACTCCGCTTCCTTGTCTGTAAAATTAGAACTGGTAACACTTACCAGTCAAACTTCAGAGCTGTTTTGCAGAGCTCAGTTTATAAGTGAGCAAGGGCAAGTAGCACACTATCTTACTTTCAACAGGTATTGAGACATTTAACTCTTGATTTAGATAAAGCAAATGGGCTACAAAGGGCAGGAGGATCGATTGGCAGGGGTATTGATTAGATTGCTTAAGATCTGTTTCCCTTTTGATCGTTAATATTAAATGAATGAATGACTGCCTTGCCCCTTTGCTGTAGTTCTTTCAAAGTCCATGAAGTGTCTTTACTTACTTTATATAGAAATTTGTGAGGTGTCCCAAAATGTTGGGCATGTGAACCAGCAGTGTCAAACTCATCTGGCCCGTCTGCCTGATCCAGCACAGGCAGCACCCACCCGGGTTGGTCTGTTATTAAATTGTTATTTAAGTAGTAGCCTGAATCTGTATTTTTGTCCTGAAATGTAGCATGCTCTGGAGTAGTGTAGAGATGGAACTGTGTAACATGGGGAATTAATGCACTAGTCATTTTACTTCTAGTAGAAGAATCCCTTATAGATAATTGTCCGTGTTTTTCTGGTTGTTTCAACATGTGTAATAGCCTGTAAAATGAGGTCCAGAACTGAAAGTAGGTTAGATACTATATCTGGAGTAGGTCACGGTTTGTACGACTAGTGCCAGTAGCAGGCATTGTCTTAAACATTTCAACCAATCCTTTACATTCTATAAACACGGGGAAATCTTAGAGAGCATTTACAATTTTTAAGGGTCAGGCTAAGTACTTTAGATGTTTCCTTTCAGTTTTTCATATGTACTTGAAGTTATCTAGGGTTAGAAGGAAGCCAAGAATCCATCATGGCTGTAACTACCTGGGCTGCAACCACAGAAGGGGTTATATTCCTGTTTATCTGTGACTTTTTAAGCAGCTGTATACATATTTGCAGAACAGAGGTCTTGGTAACCGCTCCACCATCTCTATCCTATATATTTTTAAAATGATAAAGTGTTACATTTTTATTCTAACCTCTTCTGGTATGGGAGAGCAAGAACATGGTGTAAACTCTGCAGCCAGTGTAGGAAGTAAAATGCCTAGGAAAAATTTCCTTCTCTTTCAGAAAAAACTGTTCACCTATTCCTAACCTAATTACAAATGTAATACTCTGTTAGCACGTTCATTCTGTGCCACCATCTGGCACGAAATGTTTCTGTAGAACTGTGGATAGACGCAAGCTGCAAAGTTTATATACAAATTTTATACCGCTACTTGCTCCTAAAATATTTGGAAATGTGTTTTAGGTGGCTGGCTTGACTTGCTGTTTATATAATTCCATTAGCCAAGTTTGGATCTAGATATAGGTACTGACTCATAACCTTCTTAAACATTTGGAAGAATTTAACATTTTAATAACAAGGTATCACTTTTTCTCTTTATAAAGCAAGCTATGGCTGAAACATTTTATCTCTCCAACATTGTGCCTCAGAATTACGAGAATAATGCTGGATTTTGGAACAGGTAAGAGATCACTTTTGAATGAACTAAGAATGAAAGGTTAATCAAGGGGGTAACACAAATAACTATATTTATATATCTCTTTTCATCCCAGAAGATCCCTTTTGGTGTGAAAAGGTATTTTACAGGATATATACAGGAATCACTGCAGCTTGCTCTTAGATGAAGAGCAGTTATTCCATAACCATGACAAAATGAATATGTAGCCATTTCAATTCTTTATCCAGCAGAAATGATGGGGCAAATTTAGGTTGGGTAAACAGCATTACTTACCCTCATTGAGCTTAGCCAGGCCCTCCAGGTTAATCACTCTGTTCTTAAGAAAAGACCCATGGCAGCTTTCCAAGTTGTTCAGATCTTGGTTTAATTTCTCACACTAAAGATAGTTCCAGGAGCAGCATGCCAGTGACAGTTTTTGGGCACTGGGTCATATTTGACTTCAAGGACATAGTGCAGCCTTGTGAATCACCAACACTTGAGGGCTTGGATGCAATCTGGCAGTTCTTGCATCCATGTAGCGCTCATCACTTGTGAAAGCTGCCAGGATAACAGCTTTGAGGTGAAGTGTCTGGAAGATCTGTCTTAACCCTCTGCATATTGTTTCTTTTCTCTCTTTCTTCTGGGATGGAAAAATAATTAACTAAAACCAACTCTGATTGTGTGCTTATTAGGTTAGAAGGAACACGGGTTGGATTTTACAAGGCTCACTCGAGGGAAGGAGAGCTACATTATACACAATATTGCACTAAAAATGTAGCATAAAAAGGCATCATCATTCATCCACAGACTGCTCTCTACTTTTACAGGAATACATATAAAAGAATATGAGGCATCGAGTAAGGTTGTACTATTTTATAGATAAATAATGTGCTATAACATTTTAAAGAGATTTTTCTATTGTTTTAATGCCTCAGGCATTTGAGCATAACATTTTCTTGATGCAAAGGCTTAGGCATATGCTGTTTTAGAGCTGGGACACCCTTTTACTTTTCTCAGAGTAGTCTAATCAGGAAGACATGGAAGAGCTTGACTTCCTTACCTGGCACCTAGAATCTCAAGGACTGAAGCAGCTGAATAGCATTTAAAAAAAAAATGTTGCCACTTTTCCTTAGTACCATGCCCCTGCACTTCAGAGGAGTAAAACTAGTGCCACGGTGGCCCAACCTCGCTTGTGAGGCATGTGGCTCACCAGCACGGTACTTGCAGCTCTCCCAAAATTGGCCGAAGCCCTACCTGCTTCTCCCCGCGTCGGCTTTAAGGAACGGTGCAGCCGGGCACCTTCCGGCACTGTGGCTTTCCCTGCAAGGAGCGCACCCTGAGCCCGCCCTCCTCTCTTGCCGAATGCCAGCTCTGGCACCAGGCTGCTGGGGTGGGGGCTGCAGCTGCACTGCTTACCCTGGGATATGCTCCCTGTGGGGAAGCCAAAGTGAGGGGGGTGGGGGGGGATGGTCACCTCCACTCAGCGCCCCCACCTCCCCACTTCTCTGGCTCTTGTCTTGAACTTTGGTGGAGGATCAGATGTGGCTCCCAGGGTGAGTAACTGGCCACCCATAAACTAGCGTATTGTGTTTCATTCAGTGCCTGTTGTCATTCAGCTTTTTTTGATGATATAACTTAAGGGTGTAAAATACTTGCATCTCTTGCTTTCATTTCACTTATGTTGTCTTCTACTCCTCCCCTTCTTCATCATCCATTCTTTACTCTGCTATTTCTTCTGGTGTCTTTTTAGTGACTGTTTCTTCATTCTATTTCCCCTTATCTTTAGATCTTATTTGCCGCCTTCCGTTTTTTCTTTCTCTTTTTTTTCTGTTCCCCAAAATCTCTGAATACTTTACATCTCTTTTCTAATCTAGCCCATCAATCCTTGACTGTTTTAAGGATGGACCAAAGTGTGACTTTTTCAAATCTAATATGACAGCATCTTTAGTGTAGAGGTCCCTACACTATTTGACTTCAGCAGCTGTTGGGACCAATATGGTTAACATGAAGTATGGCTAAAGTTAGTTCCATTTTAGGCAAAGCACACATGATTATCAGATTGTTTACTGGACAGATTCATTTAATGTTTTTTTTTTTAAATCCAAAATAGCATATTTCATTTGTACCTTTCTGATGTCAGTGCTTCTGGTAATCAGTTGTCCTCATGTAGTTTAACATTAAAGGGCAATAAACAGGCTGTAGACTGGGAACAGCATCCTCTAATTTATCATTTAAGATATCCAAAAAGCCAACGGACTCTTGGGAGGTAAAGTTTGACAGCATCTTGCAGGTCCCCGATTCCCTTAAAATATAGAGGAGCAAATGGAAAGGAATACAATAGAACCTTTGGAAATGAAAAAGGTGTGCCCAGGCCTTCAGAAAATGTCTTTATTTTAGTCACTTTCAAAAACTAATTCCTTTCTGAATAAAGGAAAAGCAGAAATTTGAGCTCTGAGAGAACGTGATAAGATAACAGGGCTAAATTATCAAGTATGCAAGGAGAATACCGGACCCGCTGTCAGTAAAGTCATTAATTGGGAACAAGGTGGCAGAGGGACTGGATATTGGGCATATATTTACTCTTTTTTTTTTTTTTTGATGCATAGCTTATGAACACACTATTGAAAATATACTGCAGAAACTAGGAACAGTTTTAGACATGTCTTATTTAACTTCTTATTTTGAAGTTTGTTCTCCTGGAATATCTTTGCAGAATGGAAATGTATTGTCGGGAATTGACAAAGAGATTTGAGGATGTTTGGATAGTTTCAGGACCTTTGACCTTGCCTCAAACAGATGATGATGGAAAGAAGAGAGTTACCTATCAGGTAAGTACCTGTGTTTTTATGCACTAAATTCAATAGTTCTGTAAACAGTACCTTTAAATAGAACATAAGCAAGCTGTATGCTCCTAGTTTGCCAGTACAAAAGAGTTAAAGTTTATTTGATCAAAGTGCTGGAATAGAGGGTACTATATTAGTGCTGGCTACACTCTATGGTGTTCTGTTATTAAATCATTCATTCTGTTCATGTAATGTGAGCATTTAAATGCCTCTTTATAAGCCTGTAATAAAACAGTACTTAGCACTTGTATAACAGCTAAGTAGAGAGTTAGCAGAGTTTGGTGTACATATATCTCTTCGATCAGTCATGTGTGCGTTCTTTAATATTTACATATTTCAGAACCATTGTGATGCAAACATGGTGTGGCATTTTCAAAGCCATATAGGGGATTTAGGTGACTAGTTTCTATTCATTTTAATGTCAGCTGCTTTTCTAAAATCCCTCTTGCAACATACTGAAGCCAATTGAAAGACTCCAGTTGACTTTGGCAGGCTTTGAATGAAGCCAGTGTAATCCTTTCTTAACACAGCATCTTTTGTCCTTCTGCCTCTTATTTTTTTCCCAAAAAGCTTGATGCTAAGGATCTTCCCTGAAATTTGAGAATTAGTTGTGTATGATCTCCATGTTACAAATGGAGAAAGACCTTCAGGTTGAGTGTTAGGCTTCACTTTGCTTTACCACCTGCTCGCATGCTCAGAGTACAGTACATTGTGTAAGTATTTGCAGGATTCGATCCCTGATTGTTACTTCCATAGAGTAGTGGCTGTCTTTTACTGAATGTGATGGACAGGGATCCTGTTTTTCTCTGTTTTTAAAAAATCCCCAATTTTCAGCTTAAAAAAAGTAACCTCAAATCCACATTTTTCCATGATTAAAATGAAACACCACTATATAGCTATCTATATATTAGTGGCCGTTCATTTAAGTCATGGGAAAATGTGGATTTGGGGTTACTTTTTTAACCAAAAATTGGGGATTTTTTTTTAAATTGGAGAAAACCAGGATTCCTGGTGATGGAGCTTTATTGCTGCACGGGACTTCTGGGTATTGACACAATACAAACAATAAATAAAACTTATATAGCTTTCATTATCATAGAATAATAGAGAAATAAAGTTGGAAGAGACCTCCAGAGATCTTCTAGTTCAACCCCCTGCCTGAGGTAGGATCATCCATATCCAAACCATCCTATTAAAATCCATACTCTAAACTCTTCCTAAAACTACTGTCAATCCTAACAGAAGACACAACACCCTAACCTGCCACAGGTAAAGCAGGGGAACTACAACACCAGTGTCCTGCTTCTATAAAAGGCTGCTAATATGCTCAAGAGTTCCCTGTCCTACAGGGCTCTCCCTGGGCTCTTCTCTCAGTGACAGAGCACCGCAGGCTCTGTGTCACAGGTATGTCATCCTTGAAAAAAATTACCTTGAAGTATTAAAAAATTTAAAAATCAACAGGGATCCAGGTCATATTGGAGAGGCTTTTTCAGTGAGCAGAAGAATTGTTCAAGTCTATCAGTTGTTTCCACTATCCAGCAGTGCTGGCCCATGGGTTAGATCCAGCCTGCATAGCCATGTCATCGGGCCCATGGGGTTCCCCACAGGTCTAGAAAATTGGTGGCAAGGGAGTGATGGCAATTAACATTGCCCCTGCTCCCTTGCTGTCATATTTCCAAGCCCTGTGCACTAGGATCCGGCCCACGGACTGACCTGGCATTGCTCATCTGACCTGCGGAACCAAAAGATTGGGCACCACTGCACTATGCCATTATTTTCCAGTTTGTGTCTTTGGCAGGATAGAGCCCTTTTCCTCCCAGTTCATGGAGGAGGAAGACTGTATGTAAGAAATAACACCCTCTAACTCTTGATCATCAGTTTTAACATGTTAGTGTCAATAGTCTGTGGATAAAAATAAGTCGACTTTGTACTTTATTCCAAGTAACTTGAACCTGACATACTGTGATTGAATAATAGGGTGGCACAGTGTGTCTGTGCCTTGTTAATTACTGTATCATTTTGTTCTAGTTTGTTGCCAACATAGCAGCATCCTTGAGTTTGATGACAGCTCTGATCTTTCATGAATGTCATATCAGTTTTAATCCTAATATAAACTATGAAGTGAAGTTCAGGATTGCAAAGGTCTGGGATAGGAAGTAACAAAATGATGGTTTCCATATTTGCATCTTACCATTGGGTCATATTTATGAACTCTTTCTTATTAATTATCTATTCCAGAATAAGATATAGGGAATATTTTCTTTGCAGCTAAACATACAAATATGAATTTAGGAACTACTACTGCCAGCTACTGGTGGAAAATGTCAAACTGAAAATGTATCTTTTTTGCACATCAGCTAGTTATTTAGGTCACATTTTTTAAAGAGTAAATATATATTGCAAATAACTGAAATTTTCCCTGATCTGTCATTTTGAAAATTACATCTTTGTGGAAGATTGTCTTCTATTCCCACTAGGAATTTGTCTCTTGTGGAGAGCATCTTGGGGATGCAGGTGTTTTTTGGCTTGTTTGTTTTTTTTGATAGACCAATAAGTACTGATTTGTATTTCCAAGGCAGGGGTCATTATTTGCCAAAACATCTCTCGGGGGAGGGCAGGGTCATTAAAGATGAATATTTGGGATGTAATCCTGTCCTTGTGTGCCAGGATTTCAGCCATAAAATTTAGGATCCTAGGAATCTGCTGCTGAGTAAAACTCAAGAGTACCTTTTCAGCAATCTTCTGGTGCTGACATAAACTGGATTCAGACTTCTGATCTAGAAATGAGAGATTGCATAGTCTACAGCCAGCTCCTAATCTCATTGTTCAGCCTGAGGAAGATGTCAAGGAAAGTGTCACTCTGAAGTTGCTGTTTAAGAGATGTACAATAGCATAACTGCTGTAACAACATTTAAAATGCATACTTAGGATGTGCCAATGGGAATACCATAGCCAAGCTGCTCTTCCAGTTTTAGAGAAGAATAAAGATGCCAAGTATGAAACAAACAAAAAACCCTACTAAAGTACTAAAATGAATGTCTGAATTAGCCTGTTACATAGGCCTCTCTCCAGTCTTTGTTTCCTTATTTTTGCCTATTCAAGTGGTGAAATACAGATCCGTGGGTGTGCAGGTGGGTGTTTTTCTCATTGCGAATGTCCCAAAACGTTATTTTTAGATCACTGTAGAGTTAAAACAGAGCATTGGTCATGGCATTGTTCCCAGTTCCTGCTTGGACTCTGGTACCATTTGCTGCTTAGTTCCAGAAAGGGAATTAACCTTAAACTACTTGTATGCCAATGGTGCTCTGTCTATTGGCTGAAGCTGCCATATCCCAAGAGACATTCTGTCAGTTCATCTGTCTCCAGTGGAGGTTTTTATTGCAAAGGATAGATTGATGACCATGCTTGGTATTTGAGAGATACATTTGCAGAATATATACACATAATATAAAAATGTAAAATAGAATGCCAACAGGAAGGATCTGTTCTGTGTCATTGGAGAGGCAGATGCAGGTTATTCATCTTTGTCCAGAGCAAATCAAAATGACGTTGTCATGTTTTATACATTGCCATTTTCCAGTGAATGTCGGTTTAGTGGTTTTTCCCTTGTCAGCAGATTTTTGGTTTTAAAAATGAATTTTTCAGTAATTTTGTTGTATTGAGCTCAGCTCTCCACCCTTTACTTCCACTGAAATCCTACTGAATAGTAATTGGATATTACTCAGCATCAGTTGTCAAAGAATATACCATTTAGATTGGGTTTATATTTTGGACCAGACATCTTGCTTGAAGCTTTTTTTTTAAATTGATATTTCTAATTATTACTGGAAAGGTTTGTTTCCTGTTTCATTTGTTTAAAGGTGCTGAATTAATGGAATTAATAGATGTTTTCTAACACGAGACATAAATTCTGTGAGATGGCCTATTTAGTTGTCATATACATTTTCAAGGAAAAAGGCTACAATAAAGAAGGAAACAGAGTTTGCTGGTTTTGCTATTCGTGTAACACCCAAATGTGCCCAGTGTGCACAAATAGGGAACAGACTGTTTCTAGCCCACAGGGCTGTCCAGCTGGTGGTCCGTGGACCCTATGGCCACCTGCCCCACTGCCATATGGTAGGGAGGAGAGGGAAATCCACACACTGCTTCCACAGACCACAATATTGGGGGGGAGGGGGAACATCTTGCCGGTGGAGGGTGGGGGGCTGTCCCCACAGCCTGCTGCCCACATGGTGTGAGGCTCAAGTCCCACATGCTGGCACTGTGTGCAGCCCCCAGCTACACTGAAGTTGGACAACCCTGATCTAAGGGAGCAGTCCTCAGCTGATGTAAATTGGCGTTATGATTTATGGGCAATAGCTGAAGCAGAAAGGAAGGCAGAGGTTACCTGACTTGTCATGTAGTTGCTTTCCTTTAGCAGTATCCGTATCTGGAAGACTTTCCAATTTTATAATATACTATTAAAATACAGACTCCTGTGAGTTACAGGAGGAGTGGGAACAACCATCACACTTGGGTTGCGGAGCACTGAATGAGGCTGGTAC